TCATCACGTCACCTGCCTAAAGGCGTGATTAGAGGTGGCTTCAGCCAGGACACGCAGGGGCGTGGTTCCCATACATGATGTTGTACCTCGTTCCTTTCCTTCAGGGAACAGTAGTTATATGCATAACATTACGTTTTGTAAATCTGAGAAATCACATTAGATTGCAAATCTTGTGAAGATGTCTATTGTACTATGCTCAGTCTAGGGCTGCAACTAATGACTATTTTGATAGTCGACTAATCTGCAATTATTTTCTTTTCGATTAGTCAACGATTATTAATTCTGCCACATCCTCCGTCTTTACTTCTAGTGAGCGCACCTCCTCTTCCAGCTCCAATTCTTGAAAAGCTTGCAGCTGGAACACATCAAATGTTTTCCACCTTCTGATAAAGTTCCACTTGATAGAACATTTTGAATGTATGAAAATGTAGCCCCCTAAGAGTTTAAGCCATTAAAAAGAAATTTCAATGTGTTCGTTTACCTTAATACATGTTCATAATCAGATAGAAAATACTAGGGGTGTCCCGATCCGATATTGATATCGGATATCGGTCCGATATCAGCCAAAAAATAAGTATCGGATTTTATCGGCCTGCTTAAAAAATGTCCGATATAAGCGCTCCGATATAAGCAGTTCAATCCAGCAGTTCACTGCCTCCGCTCCAGTGTTTCTATCCAGCAGCGCTTGGATCCAGCTTGCAGAGCTCACGTGATCATAACAACATGCAGCGCTAACARGTTAGCAAGAATGCCGGCAGAACTTTCTATTTTCATCAGAAACAGAGTTGCAGCTAAGTGCAAAGTTGTCACGCACAAGTTTTCCGAGGGGGAACACAGAACCGTGAACGTTTTAAACCGGAGCGACAACTACTCTCCACCCTGGTAGCAGCTTTGCATTTCGGCTCGGTTCGTTCGGCCTCGGTCCAGTGACCGCACACAGCCGCTCTGTTTCAGAACCTCCTCTCTGGTCCGGTCGGTGGTTCTAAGCTGGCAGAAGCGAGGACAGCACACTTACAGTTTTAACATCCCGTGGATTAGCTCTTGATGGACAGAAGAGAAGAAAGGAGAGGGCAGCTTTTATTTTGAAATATAAGCGCGACATGACGAGAGCAGTGATAAAATCTGCTCCCTGCAGGAGCGAGAGGCTRATCTCCAYATGATGCTCAGAAAATGCAGCAGTAAGAAAGGTAGCTATCAATTTAAATAACTGACTAATTCTTACTATTTATTTTTTGCTCGTTATTAGAGTGATGTTTAATCTGTTTACACACTTGTTTGAGTGAAGATTAAGTGCAATGATCGCGTTGTTTTAGTTACAGTCAGTAAAATTGGAGCTGTGGACTCTTAACTTTGAACAGACAATAATGTGGGGTTTTGTTTTGTCCCCACCTTCAGTTTTTTCCACCATAAAGCAGCACCAGGCTGACAGGTAGTAAAACAATAACCAAAGTGATTTTGAATTGTTATTTTATACTATAAAAGAACATTTTGTTTTTATTATATTTTATTTTTCAGGGTATTATAATTTATTTTATTAAATTGTATAATGTTCTTCAGTTTAAAATGTATGTCATCCATTGGTTAAAAATAAATGGGTCAGTTTTTCTCATACCTACTCTTTTTCACTGTTTGACCTGATCAAGACTTTTCTAAGATTTTACATTACAAAATAGGTAAAAGTGTGTGACTTTTACTGTTATGGTAACGGGTCAATATCGGTATCAGTCAGTATCTATATCGGACAATTCTTAAAGTTGTAATATCGGTATCGTATCGGAAGTGAAAAAGTGGTATCGGGACATCCCTAGAAAATACACCAATATTTGACTGTTTGAATGTGAAAAGGGTTATACAATAACAGCTTTGGTCTGAACCATGTTTAACGCTTCCTCTGTGCATTCAGCAAAAAATTCAGGAAACAATGATACTTTTATAACCTCCTTCAGGACCTGACTCTGCCTATTGTCATTGCATCATTCAAATTGGCCAGCCTACGGCTGAAATCAGGTCCTCATTCATTTTTCCTTTTCTAGTGTTAAAACAACAGTTCAGTTAGGTGTTGAAAGTGTTTTCAGGCATGTATCTTACCTACATATATATTTACCTCCTGCTGTGTGTAACAATCTTTGATAACCACTCAGACCAGTCTGTACATAAAATCATAAATGTAATCACAGAAATAATCACACAATAAAATATTATTCACCTAAGAAAAGACTACAGAACATGTGGTGCTTTTAAAAATCAGTAGTAAACAAACCCCAATAAATTTCTTCACCCTCTTCTAAAACATTAGCATCTCCACGTCAGCAGCTGTGGCGAGCAAAGTGAAACTGATTGCAAACAGACTTGTATGGCACATAAAATCGACTTTACCACACTTACTATTCCAGATATCTGAAATGGGTAGACAGTTTATTAAAATATCTCAAATTATATTTTGACTAGGCAAAATACCAATTTGAGATATCTCTAATTACTTTCTGGCTGGTATAAATTGTCAGATTTAGCATTAAGTTGTATGGAGGCTCCAGTTCAAGATATTTGCAATAAATTACTGACTATCTGAAATGTATATTTCAGACATCAATAATTAAATTATGACTAGTCATAAAGTTAATTTGAGACATCTCACTTTTTGTTTYGACTAGTCACAAATCCATTTAAATCTTAAATAACATGTTTATAGGTACAGTAAATATTTGTGTTCTTGGCAGTTTTTCTGACATTGTTATTTTTTCATATCGATATCAAAATAAAATCGTATTGACTAAAATTAGGAGTTATATCATGATGTAAATTTTAGCGATATTGTCCAGCCCTAAAGTGACGTTCAAGTGCATAAAAGTAAAAAAATAAAAAATAAAAAAATCCATTCTGTTTAAAATCTTGCTGGATCTGGCAGTCCAAAAGTTCAAATAAGACTTCAGTGCAAAAATATATATATATTTAAAAATGGGAGAAGACAAGACAGGATAGATTATTACCGTAATTCCATGTCTACTAATTGTAATAACTAACATCATTATGTCAACTAATCATGAGCCCTACTATACTCCAACATTTTATATATTAACTTATGTCATAATAACTCATATTTCATTGTTGCTTAAAAAAAGAGAAAAAAAATACAAATATCTGTGCATATGTACTGTGTTTACTGTTTGCAGGGACACCATGTGGCGTGTGTTCACAGGAGCGTTGTCTGTGGAGGAGAAGGGCAGCCTGCTGCTGGCTGACCTGCGGGAGATTGAATCATGGGTGTACCGGTTGCTTCGATCACCTGTACCATTGGCAGGTCAGAGACGTGTGGATGTGGAGGTGCTGCCCCATGAACTCAAACGGCCGCTGACCTTCGCCTTGCCTGACAACTCTCGTTTCTCCTTGGTTGACTTCCCTCTGCACTTGCCCTTGGAGCTGCTGGGTGTGGATGCCTGCCTTCAGGTTCTCAGCTGTGTCCTGCTAGAGCACAAGGTAAACACTGCAGCTGCAGAGTTCAGGAAACCGATATGTTAGTTTTAGATTCGTTTGTATTTTGTAATACTGTGGTAAGTACACAGTCTGTCTCTGTGGTTTTGTGCTTACAAGTGTCTATGCTAAATGAAGGATCTTCTTATGAGACCACAACATTATATTACAGTCTGTGTTGATTTAATAGAAATGTAGCCATAATCCAGAATGCCTGTGTGGAAAAACTCAGAACTGCTTTTATCCATAAAAACTTAATCATGTTCTGTATGACCTTATCAGGATCTTTCATCTTTAAAACATTGCTTCAGTTCATTAGGGTTTGCAGACTCTTGTTCATACCTGGCACGCTTAAGAGCCTGCTACAGCATTTTCTTCATGTTGAGCTCTTATCTTTAGTTTGTCCACTGTAATATTTTGATTTTTTTAAATCAGCTATACTGTTGTGGTTTTGCAGCAGTGTAAAGGGTAATTAGTTGATATTATTACTGCCCATTTCACACAAGCAACATAAGTCATTCCAAATTCCAATTTGTTCCTTCATTGGTTTTGAACCATTCATTCATTCTCCTGCTTTGTGCACAAAAATGTTTACAAATAATTTTACATAATTCATTTTTATTTCTTTATATTGGCCCTGAATGCCATTCAGCAKGCACAAAGTTGAGAAAATAAGAATATTGTGATTAATTTGAGTAAAAGTACAATTTCTCCTTTTTTTGTCATTTTCTATCTTTCACACCTTGAGCCATTAGATTGGATGTAACAGGAATCCTTGCTTGGACAGTGCTGGTGTAACGTTACTTTTGGTTTCCAGTAGCATGGCTTCCAGGGCTTAGTTGAAGCAGTTCTATATCCAGCCTGTTCTTCTCAGTTTCATTCTTAACACTGGTTGATCGAAACTCTGAATAACTGCTGTGCAGTTTTCCTGGCTCACCATCTTTTTGCTTTTCTCAGACCTTCTGACTAAAGATTATGTTCAAACATCAAACATATGGGTTGCACATAAAATCTTTGGTCTGGTTCTCAGGGGAGAACCTAGGGTTGTTGCTTGGTGCTCATATTTTCCTTCACTCATTTAACACATTTATCTACAGGGGCGTCAGGGCATCTAACGTCCCCCTGTTCTGTTTTATGRCTCCTATCAGCTGCAACGTCTCAGGACATCATGCTAAATCAGTCCACCGAGTTTTTATTTTATTCTTTTACTCTGCRTACATTTTGTAAACTACCTAGGTGGCCGAGGGGCTGGGTGTATGTCATATAAACATCACAAACTGAACATTTCATGGTTAAATGTCTTATAGACTAACATGTCCCTCAGATGGACAGCTCCTGTAGTTTGACCTTCTGCGTCTTCAGCCTTGGTTAAACCAGCTTTCCACACTCTCCAGACCAAGCAGCAAATATCTGTCTTTTGCACAGAGCAAAATAACTTAAAACATTCAAATGTTTTATTTGTTAGACTGATTTATTTTTTAAAAGACTATTTTATTCAAAAAGATAATACTATTCAGGGATCGACATAACCATTGTTTAGGTTGTCCGAGACAACCTATTTTTGTTTCGGACAACCAGATCCCGCCTTCCAGTTGTCCGGTGGACAACCAAGAAAAAATCAGCGGGTGTTCGTCATTGTAAAAATGAACAGAGAAAAAAAACTTGTTAAAGCCATCTAGGGATTAAACTGACGGTTCTTTCACCCATTAAAGAAAACCACAGTGAAAATTTTACCCAGTCAGAACAGAACAGAGCAGGGCGGGTCCTGCTGTCTGACTGCCTTTCTTTGTCTGTGGGTTGGGGGTCAGCTTCACTCAGTCCAGCAAACGCTGAGGGGTTTTCCCGGGAGGCGTTCACCTGAGCTATTTTCCACCAAGGATTACGTCGTATTTTATATATATTATATTTTTAAAAGCACCTCGCAGCATTTCTCCTGTAACACTGTGTGTTTACGAGCACAACAAAACCGCAACAGATCTCCTGATTGTTTTTAAAGCGAGGGCTCAGGGAGGCAGTTTGACCGCAGCCGCAGCACCTCTTCACGTGCACCGCGGCCCCGGGACTTCAGAATTCATACATGCCAACCCCTTCAGATATTTACGTGTATAATGAGCATCACAAATCAGTAAATTTTGCAAAAAATCAGTATTAATCACACGTGAGCGGGGTGCGCAAGCGGACCACTGCCGTTGGGGGTGGGGGCTGCGTTTGACTTTGATTTTCCTCTAAAATCACAGAGTTCTCTGAGTCAGCTTCAGGTGCTTGTAGTTAATCTTAAAAATATTCTAAATTTAACCAGGTGTTTCAATGCCTTTACATTACACAACAATTGTAGTGGAGAAACTTATCAGTTTGGTTAAAAAAACATTAAAAATAAATAGTTTTTTCTATGCAGAGAACTTCTTGTGCTATAATTTTTTTAAAATAAATACATCAAAGCTCCTCAGTTGAAAACACTAAAATGATAGAAGAGCTGTTTACATCCCCTTCATCCAGAAAGTCTTCAGTCCTAAGAACACTAAACTGTAGCTTTAATAAGATCATGTAGACAGTAGGGTATACTACTATTTAAATTAAAATGTTGGTCCTGTAAGCAGAAAGCTTATGGTTGTTGGTTGTTGATTTTTGCTCTCTGTTTCAAAGAAGAGGATGAGGAGGAGTTTTACTCAAGCAGCTCCTGAAACTGTTAACCTGCTGACTAAGAACATTTGTATACAGTAAACTTTGTATACATAACAATATAGCCTACCTATTAAATTACGTTTTAATTGAGGTTTTTATTTTTTGGACAACCAAAATGTTTTGCGGACAACCAGATTTTGTCAACAGGTTGTCCGCTGGACAACCTGAAAGAAATCTTTATGTCTACCCCTGCTATTTAGATGGTTTCAGCTCATGTAATTATTTATTCTTCAAATTTGATCATTTAATAAATTACATTTATCCCAGAGCAGCTGTGTCACAGTATGGTTCTAAATATAAATAAGTTTAGCAAATCAAGAACCTTGTTTTTTGATAAAATTATGAATGAAATTTGTGTATCTTTATGATAAATTAAAATAAGATTTGAAACTCTTTCACCTAGAGAACATGGCAAGTTGTTTTTATATTTTTAATATATATAATT